ATTTTTTTNTTTTTTTTTTTTTTTTATTCATGCCAATATAATTTGTTGGTTCATGGATTTGCCTGCTTCATTTTTGTCTGATTTGAAAAAAAAAACAATTTTCAGGCTCCGAATCAACTCCAAAATGCTCATATTTTGGCCCCCACAGTTGAAGAAAGTCCCTTCTCTTCAGAGTTATTGCAGTTTTTCCATCTATCAATGCAGTGGTACCAGCATGGCTCCTATAATAGCATTTGGGCTATCACAAGATTGCTAGGCCTGTTTTTTTTTTTTCCCTGTCGCTTCATATTTTTCTGAAAAAAAATCTGAGAACCAACAAATCAATTTGGTGTGGCCTTAAGGGTGTAATAAAGAAATGTCCTTACCCTAGCCTGTAACAGGCTCTGCTGCAGTCAGCTGGGGTGATGTGATCACAGTTTCCGGGCTGGATCTGGAAGACTGGTGACACAGCATCATCCAGGTAACAACCCTGGTACCAGTCAGCAACTGAAAATAGAAAATATCCGCTTGAATTCAGATCATAAAAACCACAAAATAGACTTACATTGTATAAAACAATCATTTCCAACATGCGTTTAGTATTTTTATGAAAATCATGCTGGAAATGATGAATATATTATCATAATAATAATGTTACATGGCTTGTTGGTCAAACATTATCCATGCAATCACTGCCTTTTATAGCACTGAATTGATGCAGGGTTTACAATCACATAATACACATGATACATATAACATATTTGCTCCACACATACTTTTGTGGAACTGTCGCAAGGTTCTGTGCGGCTGCCATTTGGCGCCACAAGGTGACCTCAATACGGCTTTCCCCAACCGAAGTTAGGTACCCATTCACACCTGGGTGGAGTGAGGAAAGTCGTGTAAAGTGCCTTTCCCACGGGCATAACGTCGGGGCGCATGTCCAGACATGTCCCGGGTACAACTCGGGATCGAACCCAGGTCTCCCCGTTTCATAGTCAAATGCTCTAACACTACCCGAACCGATGCCATGATATTTCTACATATTTTCTAAAAATAAAACACTTTGCTTTTTATTTCTGTCACAGGAGAAAAAATCACTTTAAAACATTTCACAGATAGCACCTTGAGTTTTATTTCTTCACTTGAGTGTATCTTGCTATTGCAGACTAAACCTGAGTTACAATGTAGTGATTATTATGTTTAAGAACAAGCACTTGACAGGCCTCAAGCAGATAATGACAAGAAATAAACTCATGTTTTGCCAAGGATTTGTCTGTTTGTCGTACATGTAAATGATGTTGTTACGAACAAAAGAAGCAAATCAATTGACTTATTGATGATCCATGCATACAATAGCATCAGTGTAGTTTTTGCTGTCAATGCTACAAAACCTTTCTTCTTATTTTTAGGCAGGCAAGTGCTATCAACCTAGCCTCCACCAGGCCTTTCTACAGGAATAAGGATCGTAGAATTCGGCAAAAAAAGAGAATCAAATTGGCCAAGGGAGTCCGGCCGCGGGGAGGTAGTTTCTTTCCCTCCGAACTGCGCGGCATAGTCAAACCCCAAGGCGGCCAAACTCCCCTGGCAAATATTCTCCTATATATAGCCAGCGTAGTTAGTCTGGTAGAGACTACTATCATCCATGGCTATTGTGGTTTTGCCAGTCTGCCAGTTACAGTTAGTATTGAACACATGATAATTTACTGGTACCTTCAGGCAATGGCTGTTCACATCAAACTCTCAGCAACTACATATACAATAGCATCAGTATACTTTTTGCTGTCAATGCTACAAAACCTTTCTTCTTATTTTTATTTTAGGCAGGCAAGTGCTATCATGGCTATTGTGGTTTTGCCAGTCTGACAGTTACAGTTAGTATTGAACACATGATAATTTACTGGTACCTTCAGGCAATGCCTGTTCACATCAAACTCTCAGCAACCACATATACAATAGCATCAGTATAGTTTTTGCTGTCAATGCTACAAAACCTTTCTTCTTATTTTTAGGCAGGCAAGTGCTATCATGGCTATTGTGGTTTTGCCAGTCTGCCAGTTACAGTTAGTATACATACTACAGTATATAATTTACCGGTAGCTTCAGGCAATGCCTGTTCACATCAAACTCTCAGCAACCACACATACAATAGCATCAGTATAGTTTTTGCCATCAATGCTACAGAACCTTTCTTCTTATTTTTAGGCAGGCAAGTGCTATCATGGCTATTGTGGTTTTCCCAGTCTGCCAGTTACAGTTAGTATACATACAGTATATAATTTACTGCTAGCTTCAGGCAATGCCTGTTCACACCAAACTCTCAGCAACCACACATACAATAGCATCAGTATAGTTTTTGCTGTCAATGCTACAAAACCTTTCTTCTTATTTTTAGGCAGGCAAGTGCTATCATGGCTATTGTGGTTTTGCCAGTCTGCCAGTGACAGTTAGTATACATACTGTATATAATTTACTGCTAGCTTCAGGCAATGCCTGTTCACGCCAAACTCTCAGCAATGTCAAAAATGTTAGGGAGGGCACAAAATAGCATACTTTCCCATTCAATTACAGTACCATCCCCATTCGCCGTTAGCAATTTTCTTTCTAATTAGCCTTAACCACTGTGGTCTTCATTGTCTACCAATGCACATTTCGCACACTAAGGCCACACCGGTACCAATTTAATTTCTTGGTTCTCTGATTTTTTTTAAGAAAAAAATTTGCAAATCAGAAAAAAATGAAGCGGGCAAATCCGACAACCAACAAATTAAATTGGTGTGGCCTAAGGAATCTATGTTGCAAACAAGTATTGAAAGATAAATATTACTGAGTATTATGGGGACATTTTTAAAGATTTTAGGCCAGCATACACTAGGACAAAAGCCTTCTTACATTGGAACACAGTAGCGTTGACTTCTTTCCAATCTTACACTCTGCTACTACTAGTTGGCCTTGAAAACTCCTATCTTGAAACGTAAGAGTGTCTTCTTTTTTTTGTGGACAAGCACTTTTAAACATGATTTTGCCCCTTCTCTATGGCGAAGTACAAATGTATATGCTAGGAAGAATGATTGGCTCTCAAAAAGCTGTTTTCGTACAATGACCCTGTTTTCACAATGTCACATCCAGCCTGATCTCAGCTGCTGCTCTGAAAACTTCGGGCTTTTCAAGTGGTTCTAGAGGTGGGCAGCTGTGAATGGGCTCGGCACAAGGTGTTGTTGGAAGCGGCGTATTGTAGATTTGGCCGGCTTTGTTTTGTAAAGGAGTGCGAGATTGAAGTGTGGTCAAACAGCGCTTGCTAGCCAGGTGTGCCAAGCCAAGAAGAACCAATCGCCAAGAACGACCACCGTACTACAGTTGTTTATATCGCTGTATGCGAATCTCGCTTTTTATCGTCCAAATTGTTACAGCTTACGACTCAGCGTGCAAAATACCTTACTTTTTTTTTTAAATACCAAATTTTTAATTACTTTGGGGCAACCTATTTTTGAACCTAGGTGGCCCAGTGTGCTACCTGAATTTGAAGAATCGCCCCCCCAAATCATGCCCACTTGGCTTGCACCACTGTATCCAGCAGATGCTTTTTAATTTTAGGTATTAATGGCTATTACTAGTATCAGTTAAATTTATCAGCTTAATTTGAGGAAAGTAGTAACTTATACAACCTAAAATTCTGATGGGCAACCTAATTTCAACCTGGTTCAAAAAAGTTTTTTGTACACTGTCACTGTTACTGCGCACTGGAATAACTTAGACTTTAACGCATCGTAGAATCGTTTATAGACAGCGTTTTGCTGTTGAAACAAGTGCGGTAACACGAAATGCCCAACAGAACACAAGTTCAAATTGCGAAGAGTTTGCAGCCAGGCATCACCTTGAAAACTGCAAACATCTAACCGCCACAAATATTTCATGATTAACGGTATTTTCAATCCTCTGCTTTTTACTGCAATACAAACACATTAAAGCTTTACAGTTCACACAAGTACAATGGTGGCGATTTAGAATTTAGCCATTGTTTTGAGCAAGTATAATGAGCGAATATACCCATACCTCAAAAACTTTATACACTGTCATTAAATCAATTGAGACGTACCTGACTAATAAAAGAATGATTTATTACAGCAATGCATTAACGGGACATCTACAGTATAAACAGTATCAATACTTGTCAGTCCTGGTTCCAAACTTTTCAGTCTTTTGTTCTTGGGGCTCCAAATACTGGGTGCATGTGTACCTTAGAGTACCCAAATTTGGACCTGTGCACCCATTTTTTTCTGTAGGTGCACCAGTGCACCCAAATATTTATAGGTTCATGTAGTATGTAAAGATATTAAATGTATAGTAGTATACAGCATATACTAGTAGTAGAAGACATCTAAGTGTCAGAAAAATAATAAAATCATTGTTAGAGTTCTTTTCCTTAGAAATGAAACATAATTAGTTTTTGCTGACATTCTAATTATTTCATCTTATATGGTGCGCCCAAAAACATTGGGTGCACCATTGCACCTATTCCCAAAAGTGAATTTTGAGTCCCAAGTCTTCTGTTCTGGAGATATTACAAGTCGAAAACCGGCTACAGCAGCTATATTAATCCAATCAATAATACACTTGAGTTTGTCACAAATCGGCCTGCGACTGTAATCGTCGGTACAACGGGCATTATTAACCTCTCAGTGCAGCGTAGTAACTTTGACAGCTGCTGCCATGATGGCATTGTCGCCGCGAACAAACCGTGTCAAACCCCTCCGCCCCACAAAAAGCCAGGAATAAATGCGGCCTTTCTCTCGGGCAAGAAAACGTCCCTTTGAGCTGATACAGGGAGTACACATGTCCAAATGTTTGGCTTTGGTCGTCACCTGGTGACCAAGTTGCCATGGTAACTGATTCCCAGCATGACAAGGTCCTCTGTTAGTCTCCATTCCTGCTATGTTTGACACTTGGACAATTACATAATGACTTCTCCACATGTTTTTCTATATGTCTATAGTCTCATAGTTGAGGCAGCTCAAAGAATTCAGTATATCATATTAATGTAAGAAACAGAGGCGAACATTCAACTATGCCTTTGATCTACCTGCAGCTGTAATCTCTAAAACTACCATCTTACATTAGGACTCTGGCTTCTCTCCAATTATAACACTTAAATACTGAGACAACTCACAGTACATCCCTTGCAAAACTCTTGAATATGAAAAGTTTCCAAGGACAAGGCATGGGAGAGAATTTTGCTTTGCTTGGAACAGAGAACATAGACTTAATGCAAGATTGTTGAAGCAAAACTGCTTCAGACCCACTGAACAATGATGTGGTTTTCTACACGATTTCATCTCTTTTCTAGAGTTATGATATTTCTACATTATTGTATTCCTTACTTAAAATTTCAGAGCAAAGATAGAATTTCGAATCGATTTAGAATTTCGAAGCAGTAGATTCAAGTTCTGAAGAAAGGCCATAACTAGACTGACATTCTACTTTATATTATACCACCTTTTTTCTGTGCGCAT